AATTCAACAAATTTTAAATTTCTTCATAAAAATTTTTCATTATTACCAACAGAAATTTATGATTGTCGTTTAGCTAATATTCATTATCCACATACATCTATTCAATGGCATGATGATGCACGTCAATTTATTTATGATTTTATTCATGGAATAGATTTTTCTGTTCAAATAATAGGTTTTATGGATCTATTTTATTGTATTTATTTATGGATTGAACAAAAATCAATAAATCAATTACTTATTCAACATGGTTTTGCTATTGAATTTGATGATTCAAACTATTCAAATGTAAGAAAAAATTTTTTTTTTCAATAAGATTTATTTATTTATTTATTTTTTACTTATAGTTTCAACCAATTTCATCAAATTTGTATGTAGAAATAATTTTGAGTTTTTTTATTGAATTTAAATTTATTTAGACAAACAATACCAAGAATTCAATCAAATATAAATAATAATTATATTGATGAACGATTATTATTAAGACAACAAGATAATAATATTGAATTTAATATTGAAGAAAATAATTTAAAACATTTTATTATTTCAATTGATCATGCATATTATTTTGTTAAACATCCATTTACAAAAAGACCTTGTTTACCATGTTTTGAAGTAGCTCGATTATTGAATAAAGATGAAACATTTGTTTCACAATTGGTTAAAAAAAAAAACAAATTATATATTCTTCTTGACTAAATTGTTTTTCTTTTTTTTTTTTATTTCAATAGAATCTTATTCGAGAAACAGAAGTTTCTCTATCAGAAACACATAGAATATTATTTAATGATTTACGTTGTTTATCAGAATCAATTAAATGTCCACATATTCATCGTAATGATGATAAAGCTACAATTAAACTTTATGATCTTAGTTCAATAAAAGATTATTTATGTAAAATTAAATTTACAGAAGGTGATATTATTGATGCATTTACTCAAGAATATGATAATTATGAAAGAGCTGGATATTGGAATGAAAAGAAGGTTTGTTAAATTGAAAATTATTTTTATATGAATTTAAATCCAAATAATAGATTATGAGGATTAGTATTAACTTACAAGAGAAGTTGAGTACAATTGTTTGGAGTATTACTGCAGAGATACTATATTTGTATGATATTTTCGAATTGAAATTTTGCATAGAGTCAAATAATAATCTAAGGATCCGCACTCTTTTATTGTAGAAGATCAATTGAAATAACGATCCAAAGACTGAATATTTAGATCTTATGAAAAAAAAACACTCACAGAAAACAAAATAAACAGCATAGAATATGTTTACAAACAAAATGAAGGAATGTTTAAGACGAGAAATAAATAGGATCTAGAATGATTGTAATACAGTAAGCACAATAAATCCTGATCAGCATTGGATCGTTCTTCATGCAAAAGAGCAAAAAAGTTAACATAGGATTTTTTTATTCAGCCAAGGATATGTCAACATAGCGTAACACATCTCATAGTGCTTAGCCTTCTCATTCAAGAGCGTTCTAGATAACAAAAACAGCGAGATCACAACAGATTGGAGAGTCGCCTATCCGTAATATAGTGAAGAGATGTTCAGCTTTCCTTGATAATAAAAGAATGGATATCACAGCTTCCATGTATTAAGCTCGATCGACCACGGATTGGTACTTATGATCAGAATTTATTCAGCTTTATTTCTATCAGACAGAAAGATTCAAATTTAGGTACTTGCCACCTTGTAACGGGACTTCTGTAGATTAGAACCTGTCGGATTCAAATTTTTTCGAACCCTACTTTGGCATTCTCCATGAAATTTTCTAATCAACATTGGATACTCGTCCCGAAGATGTGGCATACTTTTTTTTCTGAATTTTTTGTGTTCAGTGACTAAGAACCCTTCGAATCTAAAATTTTCAGATCCGTCTAGGTTCGAGATCCTAACCCGATAGGTCTATAGATTCAACTAGAATTACATTCAGATTAAAACTTGAAGAGCAAAATAATAGAAATTTTATTTGTCGTGAATAAATAACATTTGTCATTATTCTTCAAAGGAATAAAATATTTCATAAATAAAAAAACAAACTTTTATTATTATTATTATTTAGAACCAGTATATAAACAATGATAATCTTCAAACTCATCAAGAAGATTTATATCAACGAAAGAATATGTTAAATTTTCGAAAGTACAAAAAAAAAAAAATAAATCTAAAAATTCTTTTTTTTTTTTTTTGTAATTAATAAAATTATTTCATATTTAGAGAACAATTGGTTTCATTATCTAAATCTTATCATGATTATTCATCTCAAAATGAAATACAAGATATTGAACAAAAATTAAAAACTACAAATGAAAAATTATATTCTATGGACAAAATATTTCCTTCAACAATAAATAATCATTTAATATATCAAACATCACCATTATTATCATCAAAAATAGAAATAAAATCATCAAATAAAAAAATGCGTGAAACACTTTATCGTATAGCACGTCCAATTGATCAACAATTTTCATTAGATATTTGTTTTAAACATCAATTTTTAACAAATGAAATATTTAATGATATTAATAATGATGATATTGAAGAACTTTTTCAAGATTTATATCGTATAATAAGAAATGTTATTGAATTTTTTACTGTTGAATCTGAAATACTCGATGAAAATAATCATAATTTAATAAATCAAGCACGAAATATTTCATTAAATTTAATTGAAATTAATATTCCATTAAAAAAACGTATTGAAACATATAATGATTGTTTACAAATTATAGAATATTTTCAACCAATTATAAGATATTGTCTACAACGAACTGATTTAATTGATATTATGTGACTTATTTTCAAATATTATTTGTTTCTTTTTTTTTGTTTTAGTTACCTTAACGAACTGTGATTATGTCTATTTTGAAATTGTTTAAACAAAAACAAAAAATGTATATAAATAGAAAGAAAAAAAAACAAACGATTTTTTGTTTTTTGTTTGTTCTTTGGAGATTTTTTCTTCTTCTTGTGTTCATTACTTTAATACAACTAACATATGTATGTAGAGCTTGTGTTTTTCTTTTGTTGTTTATATTTGAGTGAAGAGTGAATATTAAAAAAAAAAAAAAAAAAAAAAGAAGATTTATGAAAATAATTATTGTTGTCTCTCTCTTTCTTTTTTTCATGTTTGAATTTAACAAATATTTATTCAATATGTATTTAATAATTTTGTCGAGACAGTCTTATATCAATGAATGGGATCTAGATGACAAGGTTTCTTAGAATATTAAAATGGAAAAAAAAACCAAGAATGACAAAAGAGATGTATGCAATGATACAGATGACGCCGAGAATTAGTTCTGTAATTTTCAAGTTGGTTTATTATTTTATCTTGTCTTTTACCCACGTGAATAATAATCGATATTAACTTGAAGAGAGTCAAATTATGAATGTATTTGATGCGAATGAGATTCAATATTAAGTAATAGGACTAATAGACTGATAATCTGATATGTTTTTTTCATATATAGAAAACATAGCTATGCTGGTTGTAACATATGTGGAAAATTTGATATGAAGGAATTGTTTATTAAGTTTTCCAAGACAAGCATAAAAGAAAAGGTAACAAATCGCACAAATAGTAATAAGAATTTCTATGTATTGATATGATTTCTGAAATGAAAGATATCAAAGTTAATGGTAGAAATAGCACAATGAGCTGACAGAGATAGAACCGATCTGCGATTTTTCGGAACCGAACTGATTTCATCTCTGTGAACTAAAATAATAAGAAGAATGATGAATCATTCATTATTTATATTTGTTTAACATGTAAGAATCCACTAGGATATCTGAATATCTTTTCGTTTTTTTCTGTAATATTTGAAGTAGAGTCCTTCGCTGGAGTTACATGATTAAAACTGTCGAATATTTTTACTTTTGCATAATGAAAAGCTTATTCTTCATAAGTTAAATAATTAACAACAATATACTAGATTCATAAATAGATTTGGAGAAAAAAAACCATCAGAGAGCCGTTCACATTAACGAGTAGCACAAAGAGGCGTAAATATATTAGTCAAAAAAATTTTCAAGTCACAGCCGAGTTTCAGATTCAAAAAGTTTGACTCCGCAAGTATCTATTTAGAAGTTCTTCGTGGAATTGTTCTGAAATCATTGTTTTCTTTTTGAGAATGTAGCGGAAGAGAAAAATCTTCAGAAAATTGTACGAGAGAAGTACAGTAAATATTCCGTAGACTAATATAAAATACGTCAAATGAAAAATCTCTCGTTAACTATACTTATTTTGCAGGATTATTGATCATCAGAGTAAAGGTCTCTCTAATTTTTGTATTTTTTCTATTGAGGGTCCTATTTTTTTTTTCATTGTTACTATTCACTCATTATTTTTAATTCGTTTTTTTCTTACTTTAACATTCTTATTATTATAATCACTGAATTAATTGACAAATAAGTCAGGTTTTCATATCCAAAATATCTACAGTAGATCTTATGCACTATTATATATATTAATCAACACACAAACAATGATATTCATTAGTTTTCAACATTATAACTTGATTAATTTTGCAGAAAAAAAAAACTCTAGAGAGTCTGACGCCTGTTATTGTTGGTTGCTAAATGTTTGTAATGAAGACGAAGGAATTGGAAAACTCCGACTTCAAACTTACACTCACTATTTTCTTCGAAAATATATGTGAGTTCTAAAAAACTGTCATTAAAAAAATATCATAGCAATCTTATATCATCAATTGATCAATATCATATCCATGATTTTATCCATTCAATTTCAATAGATAGTAGCTTTATTAGGAAAAAATAATAAAGTAATTCAGTTAGTCAAATAGAAGACTGAAGTTAATAGACAAAATATTCTTATCTAATCTTGTACTTTTTTTTGTTTTTAGATAATTCTTCATTTAAAATCAACTGTCTTTTATAAAAATAGATTTTTGGTTTTTATCTAATATCAATAAAATATAATTTTTAAAATATTTATATTTTAGAATAAATTTAAAATGTCAGAAATAGATGTCGGTATACTTAAACAAGAAATTCTATCATTACTTGTCTCAGCTAAAAATGGACTCAGTGAATATGAATTACTTAATGATTATCGATTATTTAATTCAAATAAAGAACTTCCATATAGAGATTTAGGTTATTCATCATTAATAGCTTTACTTCGTTCATGGCCAGATGTTTGTCGTTTTCAACAACAAGGAAATAATATTATTAAAATTCTAGCTGTCGAAGAAGAAAGTACAAAACATATTTTGTCTATGGTCAAAGGACAACGTTCAAATAAATCTCGACGTGCTCGAGGTGGTCGTAATCGAGCACGAGGTGGAGAAGCATATCGAAATAATGGTCGTGATAATCGTGGTGCTCGATTCTTACAAAATACTTTTAATTCCAATAATAATCGATCAGGAGGTAATAACCGTGCTACAACCAATGGTCGTATGCCTTCTAATAATAATCGTTTCGAACGATCAACAGCATCATCTTATTCAACAATAGGACAATCGAATCAAAATTCTAGAAACAAACCAAATGTAAGAATTATCATTTATATTTCACAAAGATAGAATATACTAATTGATAAATGACAAGAATAAAAAGTTGTTAGCACAATCCTTGCGGAATTAAGATATGAAATACGATCTACCTGTTGTTACTAATCTTTTACTTAATTCTCTGAAAATGCAATAAGAAAGTAGTTTATATATTATAACAAGATGTTATTAACATATGGTCTTTGATCATATATTAACAACATCTGTGACGGAAATAGGGAACGTTGCTAAGGCATCTACCACACTCGGAAAAACAACAAATGGAAGTTTCGACAACTAATCGCATGTTTGACTGAACCGTGATTGCTATTTCATTTCCAACAAACTTCTATTTGCACACATGTGATTCAATTACATAGAGCACCCGACAAGGATGATGGTAGCATGTGAAAAATGAAGATTTACATCAGGAAATGGATTCGTAGATGATCTCACTAGTAAACAGTATTTTAATGTTGATATTTATCGAAATATTAAGAAAAAACAAAAACAATATTCATTATCGAATAGTGATAACTGAAGCAAAAAGAATCTTGAAAATAAGGAAAAATCATCAAAGGTTATGAGAAATTTTTTGAAGTAACTACTACTTACTCTCGTGCAAGGCTTCATGCTCAATTACAAGAGTTCACTAAATATTCGTATTAATATTCATATCTAATGTTTTTTATCATTGAATAGATTGTTAGTGATTTTTCTGAATTTCTCTGAGTAATTTCACCATAATACTAAGAAAATTCTTTTTTGCTGATTTTATTTTTCAGTACTGCGACTAATTGTCATAGGCCTTTCACGATCTGTGTGGAGAATCCGAAGTTTTACCCGTATACTTCAACACTCCTTTTAGAGATCATGTTTTACAAAACTATTTCGAAATCTATAATAACTATTATCTAGGTTCCGGCACTACCTCGATTTGCAAAGCAACAACAGCAGCAAATTCGTGCATATGTAACTAGTTCTAGTCAACCTCGAATGTCGTCTTATGAATTACGACAATCAACAAATTCGACTTTACTTGATGATCGTCGTGTAATAAATAATTCAACATCATTACAAATTACTGTTGCTAATAATACAAATAACAATCGTACAAATAATATAAATGATATATATAATGATTATCAATATTCATCAGATATTCCTGGTTGGTGAATTTTATTTTGAAATTATTTATATACATTGTAATGATTGTTTTTAGCATTTCAATTTGCTGATTATATAATAAATGAAGATGAAGAACAATATGATGAAGAAGATGATGATAAAGAAGAAGAAGTTATTAATAATCTTCGAACTGTAAGAAGAAATAAATGAAAAGGAAAATAATAAAATTTGTTTTTTTCTTTTTTTTTTTTTTTCAATAGCTTTTAACTGAATATTCACATGGTATTCGACTTTTGGCTTTAGATGAACTTTATCAAGTTAGCTATTTTTCTCTTTATTAATTTCAATATTTTTTCACTTTTATTTATTTAGAAAAAATTTGGCAAAAGTCTTTTAACTGAATTAAAAATTGCTAATATTCTATTACTTCAAGATTTTGTTGATGATTTTGCATCTATTTCACGTCATGGTGAAGAAAATGGTTCATGTGATCATATTATAACTCTTAAAGATCCTAAACAAGTTGCACAAGTAAATCAAAGTATTTAGAATAAAAAACAAAAAAAATTTAAAGTATTTATTTTTAAAGACACAAACTCAATTATTACAACAAATAACAGATTCTGGCATTGTTTCAAAAACATTTCATTATGCAACAAATCTTTTTTCATATATAAATGATCGACGTTTTCAAGGTTTTATATCTGATATTGATAAAAATGAACATTGTCTTCATGTACAACCAGTTCGTTATCAAGAACATATTGAAACATTAATGGAAGAACTTCAGTAAAAACAAAACAAAAAAAAAAATATCATTTTTTCTTTGTTTCTCATTGAAATCAACATACTTTTTTTTTTTTATTTAAGTTCATATTATTCAAGTCCAATATCAAATTCATTAATTATTAATAATATTGAAACAGGTCTATCATGTGTAACAACATATGATGGAATATATCATCGTGCATTTATTAAAGAAAGTGATTTATATAAATGTGTTATTGTTTATATTGATTATGGTACAACAAAAGAAGTTAATAAAGATGAACAACAATTTAAATATTTACTTAAACATTTTGCTGAATTACCATGTATGGCTATAGCATGTCGTTTAGATGATATAAGTTTTATACCAAATGATAATAATTTATTACCAGATACATATAATGAAATATATACATTATGTAAAGATGGACCATTTTTTATTGAACCAACTGGATATATAAATGGACTTTTAACAATTAGAATTCTTGATGCAGATGAACAATGTTTAAATGATATTGTCGTTCAATTAAAACTTGCAGTACGAAAATTTTCATAAATTTGTGAACTAAATATTTTCGAATTCAATGTAGAATGTATTTGAATATACTTCTAGGAAATATTAACGACAAAAAAAAACAACACTTTTTATTGCATTCTTAAGTTCAAATATGACAATATGATAGAGGAAAAAAAAAAACAAAAACTCTACCTTTTTGTAATTATTCTATTCTTCTAAAGATCTTAAAATCGATTACTTTTAAATTCATCAAGATAGGAGTTTATCACCACATCATGTCAATTCATAGAGTTTATTCTAACTTAGAACGAGATATGAAAATATGGATTTGGATGAAGAGAAGATCTCGAGAAATATTCACAGTCATACTCTCTTCTATCAGATTTTACATCGGTGAAGTAAAGAGTTTATTAAATTAAAATAAAAACAAAAGCAATGAGTAGATCTCAGAAACAGATAACAAAGTGGTAGGAAACATAGGTCTTCGAGTCACAGTGTCATATAACTAAAGATCGAGCTCCCAAACCTGACTGAGTCGGGATTTAGAAATTTTCTGTTAATCGGAACAGGAACTGATTTGATAAGTACTATTCTGAAAGTTAGAGTTAATTATAACTTAATTCTTATAAGATCATCATCAAGATTACCTGAAAATGTATGTTAGTCACCGAATATAATCGAAAAAATTATATTGCATCTGCAGAGCGACTACCACGTGCGGATTGAAAAATTTAATTGAGAGTACAGTTTGAACCCAAAAATGCTGAACCTGACGAGATCTACAGTACCGCTCCACCCTACCACCAGACTATGGCAGCTTTCTTCACATTGTGATGATACTCTCCTTTTTTATTTTCGAGCACAGCTAGATCTGTAAAAATGACTGATTGTAATTAGTTTTTTATATTTCGAAATAGTCTTGATGTATTTTATTTACTCTATTTGATGTCGTGGAAATGAAGTGTAATGATTATGATGTATATCTAGGACGATAACAGCCGTGTTGCATTGTATACGACCGTACTTGTTTGATGACAAGGGGAAGAGAGTGGGGTTGAGATGAATTTTTAGTGAAAACATTTCCTTTATTTAGTATTTACGGATCAAACAATATAGAATAAAAACGGGAGAAGAGCAGCTAGTCGAACGATTTTTGTTTAGGTATGTGTGACATTAATATAGAAAGATTCGTATTGTTCTATCATATTCTCAAATTTAGACTTAAGAATGAGAATTTCTTTCAACATTTTTTAGTTATACAAATTATTGTTTCAATTTCTAAAATTTGACTCAGATCTTAGCTTAATAAATATGTTAAAATATTTTTCTAGGTTAAAATATCCTCACTTCAAAATCAATCTCCAATAGATAATTATCAACAAGAACAGTAGGTTCTTCTTATTTGATATTTTCTGTTTAAGATTAAAATTTTTTTTTTTTTCTTATCTTTAAGACAAAATGTACGAAAACCTGTTGAATTAAAATTCGATTTTTTGAATGATGCTGCTCAATGTCCATTACCAGATTCAGAATCATCTACACCAGAAAGCAATACAGATAATTTGAATTTTAAATTACCAAAAAATAATTCTATTCAAATAACAAATAATTCTTCAAATGTTAAACATCAATGTAAATTGATTCAAATTAATGAAAACAATTCATTTTATCTTATTCGTTATAATAATAATAAACCATATATACCATGTTTCAGTTTAGCACGCTTATTACATCTGTCTGAATCAGATGTTTTATCTGAAACTGTAAAATAAAAATGATTATTAATTTGAATATTTATTTAAAAATTCTTTCTTTTTATTTTCTCTTTAAGTTATTATCACGTATTCGTTTACAAGATACATCTGAATATTCTTCAATATTTGAATATCTTAGACAAACAAATCCAAAAGATTGTCTTCATATTCAACAAAATTTGCTTTTTCTATTTGATCTAATATCAGCATTGAAATATATTGAACGACTTGGTCAGATAAATAATAATATTCTTATTGAAACATTGCGTCAACAAATCAATGCATCGAATGAACCAGAATTTTGGAATAATGCCTATGTATATATTTCTTTTTCTTTTTCATTAAATAAAATATATAGTTTATATTTTCAGGATTGTTATAAACCCTCAACTATTGTACCACCATTATTATCTGTTCAATCTTCTAATCAAACTGATGTTGAACGTTATAATGAATTATTAATTCGCCGGTATTTAAATAGAATTCATATTCATATTAATAAATCCAGTGGAAATTTTTGAGACATTAATTTTCTTAGAATTAAACAAAAAAAAAAGGATAAAGATGAAATATTGGATAATAAAGATCAGATGTTTTTTATGAATTTCTACCACATTGCTAGAGTTTCCACTATGGAAGATATGGAATAATACGGGATTGTATGATATCCACACTAGACGACATGTTCTCAGAATGTGTGTCGAAATCGCCTGACATTCTTGAGAAATCCTATTGTTGAGATTTTTGAAAAAATTTTGGTTTTTTTTGATAGCTGAATGATGCATTTTTGCGGATAGGGAAGTATAGTATCGGTTGTGTTAGGGATGCAACAGTGAACACATCATAAAACTCAAGTGTGAAAAAAGTTTGACAATAACGTATTTTTGACTTTTTTTTTTTAATGTTAAGCAATTAGCTCAAATCCAGATAGTGATTTTAATAACTAATGGAGTTTTCTATTTAAGGCGTTTTATACCAAGATTTCGTAGATCATGTGTAATGGTAAGGTTTCTGAAAAGCCAGATACGGTAGTTTTCGGGTTTCAAAAAGTTATCTTTTTAACAATACCATTTTAAAGAAAACAAAATAAGGAGTCACAGCAACTTCTACAATTTTCCCTTAGAAAGCTCAAAGAATAACAAAAACCGAAAGAAGGCTTTTTTAGTCGATTTTTTGATAAATTTTGTCTTTCTTACGGTTTTTATGATGCTTTTAACTTTATAAGGAAAGGTTGTAGAAAATGCGGTGACTCCTCATTTTGCTTTCTTTAAAATAGCATTGTTGAACAATAGATCCGACAAAGTCTTCCGAGATCTGAAAACTACTGTATCTCGCTTTTTTAGAAACTTTACCATCGTAGTACATCTATGAAATCATGGCATAGAACGGATTAGATAGAAAATTCGATTGGCTATCAAAATTACTATATGAATTTGAGCGATGCATTTCGACTTTTTTGGTCAGAGGAGATTTATTTAAAAACATGAACAGACCATAAGAACTAAACCTTCTTCGAACGAGAAAATTGAACTCAAGAATTTTGACAAACCTCCTATAGTTTCGGTCACTTAGACCTCAAAAACCTGTAATCTAGTTTTAGAAAACTCAGCTATTTTTTGGAATGGCCTCTTCGACCGAAAAAAAACGAAATCGATCCAAGACCATCAGAGTTTTATCATGCGTTCACCGTTAGTCTATACGTACATGTTTAGATCAGTGCAAAAAAAGCTGTACGTAAGACCGGGGCGTCCCTAGATGGTATGCTTTAAGTATGTGAACTAATTCCTTTGTTGGGATTGCATCGTATATCTTCATTAGCAAAAACTAGAACTGAGTTCTGGAAATTCATACAAGGCGTCATACGAGAATATTAATCTTTTTATTTTCTATGATTAAACTAAAACTAATCATTTGAAAAGTACCATCGAAAACCATTAAGATCGGATGTTTCTCACAGATTTCTTTTTTTTTTCTCATTAATAAAAAGTTTAAAATATATTACTTTTTTTTTTTTCATAATATAATTTAATTAACATTTTCATCTTGAAGTAGAAATATCTTATGCAATATGTTACGTACTGATCATGTAACTGAATGTGCCATTGAATTAACATCAATTGAAAATGAACTTGAACAATTAGTACAAAGAATGCGTCTTGGTGCAATATCTCAACAAAATAGTAATGTTTCATTAACACCATCTAGTCTCACAACATCGATACATAGTGGTATAGACTAAAAGAAATTGAATTTAAAATAAAAACATTCTTCTTTTAGATCAACAAAATTTATCTATGAATAAAACTGATAAATTAAAAGATTTAATGGAACGATGTAAAAAATTAATTAATATTATTCTTGTTCTTGATGATTTTGTTGCTATTGATGATAATATAACGAAATATATTGAAAGTAATTTATCATTTTTAAATTCTGGAAAAATTTCATCAAATGATAATCAATTATATAAACAATATTCTAATTTACTTGAAAATCTCACACATATTGTGAATGATCTTCGACAACAATTACCAGCTAGTGTGAATTTTTAATTATTGTCTAATACGAATCATTTCTGTCAATTACAAGAGAAAACCAGCATTTATCATTATCTTCTTCTTCTTCTTCTTCTTTTTTATTCAACAGAACAAATCCAATAACAATGATTGAATGAAAAAAAAAAAAAATAAAAGACTTTATGTCAATGAACATTGTTCGATATTCATTTTCTCGTTTGTTATTGTTCCTATTCATGTTCTAGTTCAATCTGAAAATCGTATAGCGATTTTTTTTTTTTGTTATTGTCTTTCCCGTTTCAAACTTTGTTGTAACTTTAAAATAGCATATAGTAAAAAAAAAACAATCATATGTAACAGAAAACAAAAATTAACAAAATTTAATGCTTGACACATTCCATAAGAGAGGTCCAGGAAGAACTACTGATAAATAAAATATTAATCTCTCTAGTATATCTATTTTATGGTCAGGTGCCATGTTCTTGATGCAGAGTGATTTTGATAACTTCAGTAAACATATAGTAAAAAAGAATGATTGAATCACATGAAACGCTTTGCTTTGTTTTTTTCTTTCATGACAGTATTAAGTGTGAAAAAAGCAGGAGTTCCCCGACTGAGGCCGTGTCCATCTCTAATAAACTCGTTCCATTGAAACACACAGGGAAAATGCCATTTCCAAATTCGTCCCCTTTAGATTTGTTCTTAAGTATTCAATTATCGGTTTCATTGTTAAAGTGGATGTGCGGGGATGAATGTGGGTGTATATAGAAGACTTATCATCCCATGCAGTGCCATACCCTGCAATATTTGAATTTCATCTATTATTAAGGAATCATTGGTTATTTTTTAATGTTATGTTTCTGTGTACTATTGCTCATATTTCTTTTAATAAAGTAAATATCAGATGATGATTTAATTAATAAAATATCTTATTAATATCTCTTCAGAAATTAGTTAGATACAAAAGTGAGAAGACGAATTTTCACTAATTAAGAATAGTTCCAGTCGAAGATAACGCCATTAAAGAAACAAGAAAGACTTATTTGAGATTAAATCAAGAAGTAAAATTAGATGATCATATAAGAACATTAGATTATCGACAAAGATGATTAGAAAGAAAAGAGAGAGGTAGTTACAGTTAAATACTATTACGAATATATTCTTCATGATCTTGAATATCAAACTTTTTCTTCCTATGTTCATATAATATGAAGATGACATTTTAAAATTACTATTAAAATCCTATTTGGTAACTTAAACAAAGCGTATCTATTGTAAAATTCGCATTATTTCACACGGGAATCTATTCTAGTTTGTCAACATTCATTTAAAGAATGGAAGAATTTTTAATAGAAAATTATATTTGAAAAAGGTAAACGAAAGACGAATGCAGTTTTTAGACGTAAAAAATTATTTTAACAATTCAGACTTGTTGGGGTGCCTGGATATGACGAGGAAAGATAATGATTAGAACTTCTTCGTCGAGTATTTCTTCATTATCTGATAAGTAAAACAGAAGAATAATCGAAAAAGAGATATCAAATGATTCATTACGACAGTTAATATCTAAAGAAAGGTGTTAGAAAATGCATTCTTTCTCGTAAATACATACCAAAAAAATCCAACTTAGTTTATATTTTTGAATTTTTATTGGGTAAATCTAACAGAAATTCTGACTCAATGCAAAATATCAAACTAAGTTACTGCCATTCTTCTTTTGCAATATAGACTTCAGTATTTTCATCCAATAGAAATATGCTTACATACTTATGTCTGTTCTTCGAAAGAGTACGCGATTGCTAACAAGCCATACATTCACTTATTATTCATTTCTTGTGATACTCCTACTCTTATTGATAGATCAATGCTTCCTTTCTTATCTTACTAATTTCGCTTCACTGAGCACACTCCACTTTTTAAAGAAAAGCGAATATACATCTATTATATAAAATTTACTTTATCTATCACAATACCTATAACTAAGTAAAATTCTAATGTTAGACTAGGTATTCACTACAGATTTTCTAGAAAAATATTTCTTCGTAAAGGCTTGTTGTTGACTAAGACTATATTCTCAATTATACTGAAGAGAACTTTGTCACATAGGTCATAAATTTTGTTTGACGTGAATGTTATTTTTTCACCGAGAAAAGTAAAAATAAATAAATAACGATAAAAGCAAAGAAAAATAAGAGTATTGACACCCTAGAGTCTATTTAAAAAAATAATATTCGACTAATGAATAATTAACTACAACTACAAAAATCATAAACCGTGACAAGTCAAAATATAACTACCAAACATACTCAAACCTTTTTCTATTTTATTTACATCATAAGGCTGTGATCGACTATTTATTTTTCGATTTTTAAAAAATCATATTCTACGAATATTAAAAATATAAACATCATAATAAAATTTTTATTTCTCAATGAGTATTCGCAATTGATATTATTTTCTTTCTGTAATAAAAGAAACAATACTTTTATGTATTAATTTCTTAAACCATAGAAATTTTGATACCTACATTCGTCTTTAAATTCTGACGCAAAAAAAAAGCATGCTTAAGAAAAAAAACACCTTTCTTTAACATCACATGCAACTTAATCTTGAATGTTTATATGAAGAATTTGATTCAATTTATCCCATGTATATAGACACATGTCGATTTGATACTGTAGTATTTCGTAGAAAAATATTTACTTAAAACAAAAACAAAAAAAAGATCTTATTCGAATACTTAAAACACTTTGAAGAAACAACATGATCATAATTTTGCAAACGTCAGATAGTTGTCGTATTTTCAGTTTGCAAATTTTCTTTTGTTGTTGTTTTTGTTAATTCGTTCTTATCTTATATGGAGGTCCTTTTTTTAATGTCAATTGTAAAAATGTGTGTACAGATTGATATAAAAAAGAAAAAGAATAAATCAGAGAAATTCGTCGAAACATTATAATAAAAAATAAAAGAAAAAAATATTTTGTATGTTTCTATTAGAGTTTCTCTTCAATGAATTAAACAGCATACTTTTGACTTGATGATTTTCAAATTAAATATGAAAGATAATATTAATTACTAGCAAGAGTATCCTGAGATCATCAGGATTGGAAGGAAGTCGATTGAAAGTTGATCAGTATGTATGTCCCATATATTCTATAATTACTTATCTTTTTTTGTTTTTAATAGTTTGTTCTCATCTTGAATTAATCTTGTTTGTTTTATATATTTCATAGACTGGGTCATTGCTATTAAAAATCATGTCCTTACTTTCTAAATTTTTTTTTTCGTTTACTGTCGCGATACGTTATGTGACCCGTCAACTATAATCAACATGACTCATGAAAATGTCGTCAAAAAAATTTTGGTTTTTTCCAACTTAAATGAAAAAAATACATTATCTTGATATGCAAACAGAACATGAAAAAAAAAACAACACATTTAACTTTCTTCAAAAATATTTCACTGTATTAGTTGGAAATTTCATTTAAATAAAAACAGGTTCGTTTAAAATCAGTCTAAATTTATCCTTGGAAAATTCCTTGATTTTGTATCTTTTAAATCAAATATATATATATATATATACAAAAGAAAATTTTCAAAATATAATAAGATATTTGCATTTTATATGAAATGCATTTCTTCTTTATAGAAGTTGACTATTGTTTTTTTTTGAAAATATTTTGAAGTCACTACACAACAACAGTATGTACTTAATTTTCGCCGACAATCGATCTCTAAGAAAAATCCAACAAAACACTCGTGTTTTTTTTTTCTTCCAACTAAAAAAAAAAAGGAGTATATAAAGAATTGTTTGCTTCATCTACATCGTCTGCATTATTTTATTCATTCTTTTTATTATTCTTTTTTGATTTTTAAAAGTAATATATGACATATAGTAAAAAAAAAACACTACTTGAAATTTTCCGTGAATTTTTTCTATTATAGATTAATTATGTCTACGACAACTGTTTGTTCTTTTTGTGAAGAACGACCTTATGATTTAATATGTACATGTGGTGATAAATTTGATTTTGATTGTATTCATCAACATATAGAATATCTTGGTACTGAAATTGACCATAATTCTCAAGTAACTTCTGATAAATTATATCATCTTAACGCTTTACAAGAGAGCGCGAATGGAAATGAAAATGTTAATACTGCTCAAACAATTATAGATAATTGGGTTTGTATTAATTTTATATTTGAAATTTTTCTACTTTTCTAAAATTCATAATGAAATTTGGGTATTAAATCTTGAATTCGAAAAACAAAAAAACGTTTTTCATACCTTATTCAAAACATTGAATTTACATTTCTTTTTTACTCAGTATAATATTTGTATTCTCAAAACAAAACAAATAAAACGAAGCATGCAAGGAAGAATGTAAAGTTTAGGTCATGTATATTTTTGATCATCAAAACAAAAACAAAACAATTCGTCTAATCATCTACTTTATTATTAGACAATAACAAATAATATAAGAAATAAATATCATACATTTACAAAAATAAATAAGATGAAAAAAAAAAGCTATATCAAAATTGTAGAAACAGAGAGGGATGTGGATAGATTAAGAGAAGATCCACACTCTTCTTTATAAATATTCTTAATTAATTTGATCACTTTGAGTAGATGGGATTATTGTTATTATTATTTAACTTTATGTTATCGATCAATCTAGCTTTTGAGATTAGTACATTATTTGCCATAAATGCACTATCTATTACTCATTTTGTATGAATGCGTTTAATGATCGAAAGTATCTTTTTTGTGTTTTTGGTGATCAAAAGATAGTTTTCTCTCAAGTTTATCTAATATTAAAGAAAGAAAGAAAGAAAGAGAATATCTATTTTCTATTGAATTATTTTTATAGAAACGTAAACGTATGCAAGATATCGATGATATAGCAGAAAAAGCCTTAAACGAAGTTGAACAACGAAAAAATACTCTCAAAGATGTTCCATTAATTCAAGAAAATTTCAGTAAAATATGTTCTTCATTACATCAGCCAGCTCATAGTAATTTAAATGCCCTTATTGACCTTCAACATCAAATTCAACATATGATTGAAAATTATGAAAACTTACCAACACTTATTCAAGATGATACTAGTTTAGATACATCACTTCAAATAAAATTAAATCCATCAATATCACATACAAATAATCAAGAATTAAGAACAATTGATATTGAACCACAACAATTTGTACCAAATGATCCAATAATATCTGATACAAATAGATTAAGATCACCAGAACTAACAAATCAATTAACAAATGGAACTCATACAGTTGAATTAACAAATGGAACTCATACATATGAATTACCAAATGAAGTTTATACAAATGGATTACCAAATGATGTTCATACAAATGAATTACCAAATGATGTTCATACAAATGAATTACCAAATGAAGTTTATATAAATGAATTACGAGATGAAGTTCATACAAATGAATTACCAAATGAAATTCATACAAAGGAATTAACAAGTGTAACTTATACAAATGATTCAATAAATGATAATACAAATCATGATGAATTTGATGCTGGTCAAACACGTCAAATTCAACGTATTAATCCAATATTAATATCTGTAAATAATGATCGATATGTTGGTGCAATTTGTTGTCATAATAATCAATTAATTTATAATGATTATGATCGAATAACTCGAAGTTCTCGTTTAACTTTTATACCTGATATAAATGATCTGACAACAAAACAATTTATTAATTGGTATCAACCTGATGCATCATTTGGTTCTAGTGATAATGAATGGATTCAAGATATTACATATTCAAATAAACTTTCAGCTTATTTAATACTTAATCGTGCACGTTTACGTCTATTAAAAGATAATACAAATGATCTTATTGAATTTCAAACATTTTTTAATCGTACTATGAAACGATTATCATGTAGTGACACTCATATTTATTTAGTTGTTGCTCCTAGTACAATAACTTATTATGGTGATGAAATTATTCTTATGAATTATAATAAAGAAGAACAAATATGTAAAACATTTCGTGATATATTACCATCTCGAATGAATCGAGGAGCTGGATCATTAGTCGGAGAAATAAGTGATTTAACTGTTATTTCAAATGAACAAATAGCAATTGGTTATCGTTTTGAACGTCGTCGTGAAGTTGGTATTTGTTTATTGAAAGTTTTAAATGATGGTAGGGAATGGTCATGTTTTAAACAATTATTACTTGATGATTGTTGGCATAATGAATTACCATATACACCAAGAGTAGATTGGTGTGCAAAATTAAATGCTATTATTCTTATTGAACATATGACAGGTCATTTAATAATGATTGATAAAGATGGTCAAGTGACTGGTGAATGTCGTTTTATGCATGTAGAAAATCATCGTGAATCACCAATTAATTTATCTGTAACAAATAATTTACTTTGTGCACGATTTGAATCATCAATTGCTATTCATAAAATTATTTCATAAAGGATTTTTGTTTTTTTTTTTTTTTCGTATTTTTTGTGACAAAATTTTTCATTTAAAAAATACATTCATATATGTCGACAGAGAAATCATAATGTAGCTCTAACATAGTTGTATAATATTGATTTTGTTTTATTTTTTTAATTTAATAAAATTTCTATGTAAATGATCGACAACATATTCTTTTTATTAATCAACTAAGAATTAAAGCTTGTCAATGCAATCTCTTTGGAGTTAAAATATGGAACTTACATGTCTTATTTAGTCTCATTTTGCTAATACAAAATATGTCAAATGAAAAATTTCTAGTAGATTATAATTGTTTTCTAAGGATCATCAATCATCAGAGAAACGATCTATGTCTTATTTACAGAATGGATCATATATAACACTACGATAAAGAATTGAAATATCTTCGTTTCAATTTATTTGAATAGACCGATTTTTGCCTACACTAACAAAATCTCACCTATAGTCAACTAAGAAAAAATACATATGCAATGTTTCATGGATCATTTTTAATCGTCATTATCTAACGAGGGAACTATCCAAATTCATACCCACCGTTTGAGCTTATATTGAGTTCACAAAGAAGTTTTCGTAAGGACATTCTTGAACATCAATTTTTATCTACGCAAAAACCAAAAAATACACTATTTAGAACATTTATAAATGTATTCCAACTATTCCAATTTCAAGAAAAGCTTTAAAATGTTCTAGAGCAATATAAGCCCTTTCTTTCTTATTGCCGTTCAGCGTCTTTTTCAATATCTAACTTGAAAAGGAGTCTCAAACCTGTTATTCTCAGTTGTTAAGGAAGCGCAACCAATGACCAGTGGCTTCTCTCGTTCTCCATAAAATTTCAAGTTGAAACTTACACTCATTATACTTTTCTTCGAAAAACATAATGTGAGTTTCCCAAAAAGGAAACAGTTCAATATCTTCCATTCACCATACGCAGAAGTTATAAGATAAATCAATTTTTTTTCATTAGAAATATAAAATATTCAAATAAAAATACTTTTTAAAGAAGAAAAAAAGGTGATACGTAGAAGGTAAGAAATGATCTTAATAAAAATAACATAATGTAGATAGTTTATTATTACAACTACAAAAACAAATAATAAAATTAATGAAATTATCATAGAAAAGTAATTCCAAAAAAAAAAACCAAAAATTTTCTTTTTAATCTTTACGTAATTTAGCAAGATCTTCAATATGTTGAATAATCAATGCTGTCCAACCTGTTTGATGACTAGCACCTATTCCACGTCCTGTATCACCATGAAAATATTCATAAAAAAGAACAAGATCATGAAAATATGGATCTTTTACATAAATTATTTCATCACCATTCAATGGTCGTTTTCCATTTTCATCAAGTAAAAAAATTTTTACTAAACGTCTTGAAATTTCTTGTGATACTTCATGTAAATTCATCATTTTTCCACTTCGTGTTGGACATTCTATTTTCCAATTATCACCATATGCATAATAATAACGTTGAAGTGCTTCAATAATTAAATAATTAATACATAACCATATTGGTCCACGCCAATTTGAATTTCCACCAAACATATTCGTTGTTGATTCACCTGGTGAATAACTTACACATTGTTCATGTTCACTACCTGGATCAAATATATATGGATGTTTTTCATGATATTTTGATAATGAACGTATACCATATTCAGAAAGAAATTCATCTTCATCAAGTATATATGTTAACATACGACGAAGACGAATTTCTGATGGAATTGAAAGTACAATAGAATTATTATCATTTGATTTACATTGAATTATATGTTGTCGAAGATGAGTTTTATATTGTAAAAACCAATTTAATCGTTTTTGAAAACCTTTTAAATGATGTATTTTTTTCATTTCAATAACAGATATAGCAATTAAAGGTATAACACCAACTAATGAACGTGCTATTAAAAATATTAATATGAAAGAAAAATCAAAATAAATTTTAAATAATTTTCTTACTCTTTAATTTTGTAATTTTATCTGTTTTACCACATTTAACTTGATCATAATAAAATCCATCATCATCATCCCATAAACCTGTTCCACCATGAACATTCATTGCATCAACAATTTGAACAAAATGTTCAAAAAATTTTGATGCCATATCTTCATATGCTTCAATAACAGGTTGATTATTAATACCACTAGCTAATTCAATTGATATAGTAAACATTATTAATGAATAAAAACACATCCATGCTGTAGCATCAGATTGATGCATTGTACCACCATCAGGTAATTCAACTGAACGATCAAATACACCAATATTATCAAGACCAAGAAAACCACCAGAAAATAAATTTAAATTTTTTGGATCTTTACGATTAACCCACCAAGTAAAATTGATTATTAATTTAACAAATACACTTTCAAGAAATTTTCGATCATGTTCTTCATTTTTATTTGTAGATATTTTATATATTCGCCATGCTGCCCAAGCACTAACAGGTGGATTAACATCACAAAAATTAAATTCATATGCTGGAATTTGGCCATTTGGATGCATATACCATTCACGTAAAAGTAATCTTATTTGATCTTTAGCAAAACGTGGATCAATACGTGCAAATGGTATAACATGAAATGCTAAATCCCAACTAGCAAACCATGGATATTCCCATTTATCAGGCATTGATAAAACATCTCGACAATATCTAAAAAAAAGCAAAAATAAATGAAATAAATTCTTCGTTTTCTAAAGATCTTCTATTATGTTGCATTTATTTTCACAACTTTTTTTTTTTTATTAATAAAAGTTTTTCAAAATAAAATTCAAACCGATTTCTAAGTGACCGAACAACTCACCATGAGTGAGGATCTTTTGTATATTCTCACCAACTCATTTGCAATGCTCCTTCAGAATATTTTAACACTAACATGTCATGCAATGAATTCTCCTAGCACTGATTTTTTGGGGTTGTGAGAACGTAGTAATATTCTTGACTTCTGTCTTTGAAGATTTTTTTTTAGCTCAAAATTCGGAAAATTAGACAAATTTTGATATAAATATATGAATTAAAGTTCTCTTCTGGAAGAGAAAATTTTCAACTTACAAATGCAACCAATCTTTATTTCGAGCATTTCTTTTTCGTGTTTCTGATGGATGACTTATGTCAGGATCACCTTCAATCCAATCTTCAATAATATAATGATAAAATTGTTTTGTATGTAAAAGACCAGCATAAGCTTGTCGAACAATATTTTTTTCATCTTGATTTAATTTTGAATTAATTATTAATGAATAAAATTCTTCTGTTTCATTAATACGTTTTTCAAATATTTGATCAATATCATTAAAATTAAGTTTATTTAAAATTTGTTCATTATCTAATAATTGATATAAACGAAGATGAATTTTTATTGATGATTTTGCTTTTATATTAAAATAATAATATAAACCAACTTTTGTTCCATGTTGTTTTGAATTAACAAGATTTTTTTCTTTATTTATTATATATTCATGAAATGCATCTTTAACATATGGTGAATAATTATCTATATTATATAAACGTTTAAAATTTGTTTCATTTTCTGTAAAAAGTATTTCAGGCATTTGACCATATTCATCAGGATTAATATCGAATAGAAATGGTTCAAGTGTATCATGTTTTGTACGTAGAAAATTTTCTCCTTGTTTTTGTTCAATTTTAGGACGCATTGTACAACCTTCATGTTTACAACCCCATGACCATGTATTACGAAAAAATAATGTTGGAATTATATGTAGAGGTGCATCATTTAATGAACGATTTTCAATTGTAATACGTATAAGAATATCATTCGGAGAATTTTTAGCATATTCAGTAAATATATCAAAATATTCATTATTATCAAAAATTTTTGTATCAAGAAGTTCATATTCAGATTCATGTTTTGAACGATGACGATTTTCTTCAATTAATTGTTTATATGGATATTCATTTTGAGGATATTTATAAAGACTTTTAAAATAAGAATGTGTTGGAGTTGAATCAAGATAATAATAAAGTTCTTTTACATCTTCTCCATGATTTCCTTCTGAAAATTTAAAAAAAAAAAAATTTGTATTATTTTTTACTGTTCAATGACTTTTTTTGTGAAATATGATCGAAAAGGAGCTTAGACCCATATATCAATAACATCTTGTTATAATATATGAACTGCTTCCTTATTGGATTTCTTGAAGGCTAAGTAAAAGAATGGTGCATAAAACGATCTCACTGTGATTAGCAAGAGCAACTACATCATGTTTTACATTCCTGCAGGGATTGTGGTAATAGGTTTTTTTTTTCTTAAGTATAATAACATACCAGGTCCAGTTAATCCAAATAGACGTTCTTTAAGTATAGGATCTTTTTCATTCCATAATGATAATGCAAAACATAAACGACATTCACGATCTGTAAAACCTAAAAGACCATCTTCACCCCAACGATAAGCACGTGATCGTGACTGATCATGAGAAAAATAGTTCCAACAATCACCATCTTCAGAATAATCCTATATTGGTAAAAATTTGTATAAATATAAATGAGAAGATATTTTGATTTACTTCACGAACAGTACCCCATTGTCGTTCAGCTAAATATGGACCCCAACGTTTCCAATTAGCTTTACGAGCTTCATCTTCACATAAACGTTCATATTCAGCATTCGATGATGTCGCCATTTTGAAAATACTCTTCAATGATCAATAATATTATCGAAAATAAGATGATGATTACACCTTTCATAAAGCCAAAATAGTCATATCATCATGATAGAGCTAAATATGTTTATATAGCACAAAAATGTGGCTGGATAAAGATGAGAACGAAAAAAAAGGTATTATACCTAGACAATCCAATGCTTGTGATACATTAGTTTCTGACGTATTATTATTTTATGTAGGATAACACTGGATGTCTAATAAAAAACATTGTCAAAAGAGATCGCTGTAACTTTTGTTGTCTTTTTCTTCATTGTTCCTCAGTCGGAACTAATGAAAAAATAAACAAAGATATTTTTATCTTGAAAGATTTGTTCAACTAATAATGTTAAACAAACTAGATGTATCACTTAAAGTAACTTCAGTTCTTTTTTAAAAAAAGTATAGCTTATAAAATTGATTGATTCATATTATTGTATGAAGTCAAATTAGTATAAAAGAGTCTGGCAATATATGACAACATTGATTAGAATGGTTAGAACAATGTAAGGATTGGGAAAAACAAAGAACAAACTAAACAATGAATAATATTGAAAATCAAGCAAGAGAAAAATAATACGACCTCATGACTGCGAAATTTCGATTAATATCAATCAAAACATCAGTACAAATATATAGTAACGAGGAGATCATATTGAATGGTCACTTTTTGTAAGTCATCTTTTCATTATCTAATACGTTTCATGTAAAAGCAAAATATATCATAGGATACACCCAACAAAAGTTTTACAATTTGCAAAGAAAAGTTTATTTTATACGCATGTACCTTTTGTTTTATAAAAAAAATGACGAAATTCTTTTTCGATCAATTTCTGACGCTTAGAACAAGATCATTTTTTTTTAATCGACAATCAATTTGCTCTTTTATCTCATCGATCGAAGAAAATTCTATTCATTAGGATGTGTTTATGCTACTAGTCGACAGGCAGCATGTGGACGAGAAGACATAAATTAAAAGGCTAAGCATCCAAAAAGAATTATGGCGTTATTAGATACTTCTAAAAATCGTCTCACGTTTTCAATTATATTCGAAATTAATTGAAGTTGTTCTTTGACATGCGCAATTTGAAGGTGAATGGCTGCTGGTCGGCAATGTTCCATTTATCAATAAAGCAATGCAATGGCACATACATATAAGGTAACATTGACATGGTACACAGAGTGTTTTTTGTATTTCACAGACAAACACAGATGACCAACAAATAAATAGGACGCTATCATCAATAATATGTAATAGGATAAAGTTATAAATTATGAGTCTTTAATAGGTGCAATAACAAAAGAAATCTACTGCATAACAAAAAATAAACATGTTCGCAGCGTTGAAAATTGATCGAACTGGATTTTGTCTTCTTTAAAAAACAAAAAGGTATACATATAAAAGTAGCTTTTCTTTGTAAATTGTAGAACTTTTTTCGACGCAATTTGTGGTATATTTTGTTCTTTTGAAACATGATCTAAAATGGGTATTGAAGTATAGGAATAAAAATTTCTACCCTCTCCCTTCTCCGTACGGGCCATGACAAATGCTTGCCAGAGGTCAACACAGATTTTATATCAGTAATATCTCGTTATAATATATGACCTACTTTCATATTGCATTTCTGAAGAATTAAATTAAAACATAGTGAAGAAATGTGTCCCAAAATAGATAAAATAAAAACAATCTCTCTGTGATTGGCAACAGCAATGACATTGTACTTCACATTTTAATCCCTCAGGGATTATATTCACAGTTTTTATTAATTGACTCAGGAGTGGGTGTGGGTAGCAATGTGGATGTGGTTTGTGCGTATGGTGTATTGGCGTACGTGTGCGTGCGTGAGATAGGATGGGTGGATTTGAGTGAAGGTCTCAAGGAGACTCACACCCGAATCCACACCACGCTTAGAGCTACACCCCATACGCACCCACAGTCATAACCACAAAGACAACCACATCCATTCATATTCTACGCCAACACAGCCTCAGCAATATTTTACTTTCAGGTATCTTAGGATTCCGTCTTACCTTTGTCGTATTTGTTCGCCTCCATTTACTCCACAAAAATGCTTGCACTTTGTTTCTCTTTCCTTATCAAACATTTTTTGTGCACGTCTATACTTGCTAGAAGTATTACTTTATCTTTTTCCAGCATCTATACGGGCATCCTACTATCTTCGTCGAAAATCTTGCTTCCCATCTATAATATTTATAAGATAAAAATCTCTTTTTGCATTCACTCGAAAGTAAAACAGAGCCATAAGATAGAGTTTCACACTTGTGCACCGAGAGGTAGGCGTTCATTTCTAATTATTTCAGACGCAGGAGTTTGTCTTTTTTCTGTGGCATCGTACTCTGACGTCTTCATCGCATTCGTTTGACTTCTGACAAGAAAACTATCGGAACTAATACCGACCGTTTGAGCGCATATTGTGTTGACACGGACGTCTTGTTGAGACTAGCAAAGGCCTGAAAGAGTTCGTTTTGATGAGTCTTTGAAGTTGAGTTACGATCATTTCATTGAACTTTTGATCTAGTTTTAAGTATATAGCGTGTGGCTGTAGGTAGGAGTGTGATTATGTGGTCACTGTTTTGGCTACGGGTGCATTCGATATCCACATCCAGTTTCTATTCACTGTACCACATGTGCACTAACATCCAAACGCAGAATCGCTCAATAAAGCTCATTAGTATATAGATCCACTAAAAATTTCAGTTCGATTCGACGAGAAACTAAGAAAGTTCTTCATTATATCAATCGTGTCTTATGTGAGCTGTCTCTTAAAATGATTGCACTGAAGTCGCAATCAAAGAAAATAAGAATGATTTTTCTCAAAATCTATCTTAAGAAGATATGAATTCAAAATATTACATGGAACCAGGATTTCGTGAGAAAATTCATTTAAGGCGAACTCTATGATATAGCTTTCGTAGACGAAGCATATTTTCTATCGAAAACTGAGAAAATATTGTTTAATTATCCCTATTAGATGGAGAGAATAAGATCTATCTCAAAGTAGACTTCTACGACTGGATTCGACTCGCAAGTGGTACAGATTGAATTTTGAATAATTTCGACTTTTTTTGGGCTGATTTCTCCGAACTTGATCCACTGCTCTCTATGTACTTTTTTTTATGACTGATGTAAAAATCAATGTGTCATAAAGCTATCGGTTCACATTTTATATATAAATACCTTAAAGATGGATCAAACGACTCGGAAACAATTACATAGCTTACCATTATTCTATAAAATAGCACAAATCCACTAGAGCCTAGTGAGATTGTCGTACTTTGGGTGTGAATGTGAAAGTGTTGCTTTGAATTTTCTGTTCAATCACGTCCATTCCATACTCACACTCATACCCACACCCACACCCATACCCGCTTAATATAGCGCACAACATAAGTTGAAACTAGAAGCACTAGCTATCTTTCATCTTGATAACATAAAGAGTCGTCCTCCTTCTCTTCCTCTGTATTCTTAACTTCCCAACTGAGATCTTATAAAGATTGCCGAGCCTTCCCTAGACTCAAAACGTTGTGCCACCTACGATATTTGGTGAATGAAAAGATGATTTGTGAAAGGTAACCATTCGTTATGATCCATTCATCGTATCGATTAGTATAGAAAAGTATACATGCTTTCAATAATCTTCATATAAAAATAACAACTTAGTTTAATATATCAAATATTTTGTTAAGATCTGTATTTTTATTTGTAATTCAAATTCAATAGTTTATGATAAAATAATAATGAACATCTATGAAATATATTTTTCTTTTATTCTTCGTTCGATCGGATGAACCAAATCGATAGATTTATTTTTCTATATTCTAATAATATTAACGTAAGAATAATGTACACGAACTGAATCACGACAAACAGAGTGTACTCGAACATATATTATATAATCTATATAAGCACTTGACTTTAACTAATGGATTTTTTTTTTCTTATGTTATCCATTAATTAAGAAAAGAGAAATATACTTTTGTTTAATATGAACATAAAATATAAACGAATAGAATATTGAAAATAAAGATACAGACTGATTTGTTTATTATACACGAAATCGTACTTGCAAAAAACGACCTTTATATGGCATATTATGTAATGCTTTAATGGATGTTAATGCATCATTCATATGTCGAAATACAACAAAACCATAACCTAAAATTAAATATTTAAATTTATATTTTGAAACAAAAAGTTAACAAAATAAAAAACCTTTTCCAACTGTTGTTCGTTTATTTTTAATAACATCTGTACGAATTATAGGTCCAAAACCTTGAAATATATTTAATACTTCTTCTTGTGTTGTTTCTGGTCCAATACCATAAATAAAAACAACAAAACCACCAGTTGATATATCAATTATATTCGATGAAATTAATGATGAATTATTTGAATCTACACTTGAATGTTGACCTGTACCATTATTTAATGATTCACTTGATGTTAATGAAGAATTTGATCTAAATAATTTGACTTGATATTATTTTTGTTTTTCAAAAACAAAAAAATAAAACCTATTAAACTTACGCTCCATTTGTCGTTGCTAATGTATCAAGTATTTGATCTGTATTTTTATTTTGTGTTGTTGTTGTTATACCATTATTCGGATATACAACAGGCATTGACATTGTTGATCCACATATATTTGACCAAAAAGGCATCATTAATAAAGTATTCATAAGTAAATTCATATCTTGTCCTTGTTGTTGAGTATTATTTGAATTATTTCCATTAACAATTAAATTTAATTGTGCCATTTGTGCATTAAGAATATCCGATGGATCACGAGTATTTGTTAAATTTGATAATGATGAAATATTATTATCAATTTGTGGTAAATAACGTGCCATTAATTGACGTCGACGTTTATCATCATCAGCAAATTTAACAAGTAATGGACGTTGATGATCAATAATTTGTCCATTAAGACATTCAACTAAGAAAAAGAAAAAACATGATT